GCCCGCCACCTCGCCCGGCTAGTTTTTTGTATTTTTTTAGTAGAGACGGGGTTTCACCGTGTTAGCCAGGATGGTCTCGATCTCCCGACCTCGTGATCCACCCGTCTCGGCCTCCCAAAGTGCTGGGATTACAGGCTTGAGCCACCGCGCCCGGCTACAGTATACTCCTATTAAAAAAAAGAAAAGCTAACTGTAAAACAAACTCAGGTCCTTCAGGAGATACTCCAGAAAAAGGCATTGCTATCATTGGAGATAATAGCACCATACATATTATTGCCCCTGAAGACCTTCCAGTAGGACAAGATGTGGAGGTGGAAGACAGTAATATTGATGATCCTGACCCTGTGTGGGCCTAGGATAATGTGTGTGTTTGTGTCTTAGTTTTTAAGAAAAATGTTTAAAAAGTAAGAAGAAAAACTTGAATAGAACAAAGCTTATAGGACATGAAGAAAAAATATTTTGGTACAGCTGTACAATGTGTTTGTGTTTTAAGCTGTGTTATTACAAAAGAGTCAAAAAGTTAAAAAAAATTTAAAGTTTATAAAGTTACAGTAAGCTAATGTTAATTTACTATTGAAGAAAAAATTTTAAAATGAATTTAGTATAGCCTAAGAGTAGTGTTTATAAAGTCTACAGTAGTGTACAGTAATGTCCTAGGTCTTCACATTCACCACTCACACTCACTGACTCACCCAGAGCAACTTCCAGTCCTGCAAGCTCCATTCATGATAAGTTCCCTATATAGGTGTACCATGTTTTATCTTTTATACTGTGTTTTTACTGTATCTTTTCTATGTGTAGATATGGTTAAGATACACAAATACCATTGCGTTACCACTGTCTACAGTATTTGGGGCAGTAACATGTTGCATAGATTTGTAGCCTATGGGCTATAGGCTGTCTACTATATAGTCTAGTTGTGTAGTAGGCCATACCACCTAAGTTTGTGTAAGTACACCCTATGATGTTCCCACAATAAGAAAATTGCCTGACACTTTTCTCAGAAGGTATTCCTGTTGGTAAGCGATACAAGATTGTAGTTGGAATCACAGAAATGAGCCTTCTAAGGCTCAGTAAGTGAACCTTTCAACTAAGTCAAAGACTGGCTTCTTTCACTTAGTAATACGTGTTTAAATTTCCATCATAGCTTGATGTCACATTTTTTCGTTTTTGTTTTTTTAATTGTGGTAAAATATATACAACATTTACTATTTTTGTGTGTACAGTTCAATAGTGTTAAGTATATTCACACTGTTGTGCAAACAATCTCTACACCTCTTTCATTTTGCAAAACTCAAAATTCCATGCCCATTAAACAACTCCCCATTCCCCTTCTCCTCCAGCCCCTGGCAAACATCTTTCTCCTTTCTGTTTCTATCAGTTTGACTACTGTAGGTACCATACAGTATTTTTCTTTTTCTGACTGGTTTTACTTAGAATAATGTCTTCAAGTTTCATCCATGTTGTAAAGCTTGCGTCAAAATTCCCTTCCCTTTTGAGGTGAAATAATAATCCATTGTATGTGCCATATTTTATTCATTCATCTATTGATGAAAATTTGTGTACCTTCCACCTTTTGGTTATTGTGAATAATGCTGCTCTAAACATGGGTAGACAAATATCTCTTTGAGAACCTGCTTTCAATTCTTCTGGGTATGTGCCCAGAAGTAAGATTGTTGGTCTATTTTTAATTTCTTGAGGAGCTTCCATACTGCTTTTCAGTGACTGTACTATTTTGAATTCCATACTGCTTTCTGTAGTGGCTGCACAAGTGTTCCAATCATTGCCAACACTTGTCATTTAGTTTTGGTGGTGTTTTTAACCTTTTAATAGTAGCCATTCTAATGGATATGAGTTGGTATCTCATTGTGATTTTAATTTGCATTTCCCTAATAATTAGCGACGTTGAGGATCTTTTGATGTTCTTTTTGGCCATTTGTATATCTTCTTTGGTATGTCGATAGCTTTTTAAAAAATTGCTGTATAATAGTCTGCTGTCTGGATGTACCAGTCTATACATTTGCCTACTGAAGGACTTCTGATTTGCTTCCAAGTTTTGGCAATTATGAACAATGCTGCTATAACAATTGTGTGCAGGTTTTTGTTTAGACATGTTTTCAACTCATTTGGGTAAGTATCAATGAGTGTGATCTGTTATCTTTTCTGGTGAGGTGTCCGTTCAGGTATTTTGCCCATTTTTAGATTGGGTTTTCTTATTGTTGCCTTTTAATTCACCGAAGTGGTTGAATTTATTGGCATAAAGCTCTTGATGACTTTTTTTGTTTTTGAGACGGAGTCTCACTCTGTCACATAGACTGGAGTGCAGTGGTGGGATCTCAGGTCACTGCAACCTCCACCTCCCGGGTTCAAGTAATTCTCATGCCTCGGCCTCCTGAGTAGATGGGATTACAGGCGTTCACCACTATACCTGGCTGATTTTCGTATTTTTAGTAGAGATGGGGTTTCATCACATTGGCCAGGCTGGTTTCATATTCTACTCCATTTTTCCCAGTTATATTTCAAAATATTTCAGATACATGTAAATTAACAGGAAAAGAAGTTCAACTTTAGGAAGACAGTAATTTAATTAATGTTGTTTTAGCTTTCAATAATTAAGATAACATCTAAAAACCATAAAAAAAAACTTAAAAAAATTTTTTTGAAATTTAACTGTATTTTTCATTTCCCTGACTCCAATTTGGATGGAAAGTGTGTGTAGAAGTATAAGCCATCACATCTGCCCTACCACCCTTCTCCTGTCCCCACCCTATCCTACAAAAGATCAGAGCACAAAAAAAATTATAAAACAAATTTATTATGCAACACTTTGTCATAATGAATTGCATCTCTTTGGTAAAAATAAACTTTATAAACATTTTAATAATCAGAGATTAGATACAAAAACTAAGCATTTGTAAGTTGTTTTTAATATGAGCAAAGACTGGCAACTGAAAAGTGGTTCACTTGTGACTGGTCATCTACTGGCAGTTATAACTCAAACCGGAACAATTTTTATGCTACATCAGAAAAGAGGATAAGGAAACAGTTTGATAACAAATTTGTTGAATCAGAAAGCATTCTTACACTTTCATTTAAAAATAAATAATAGTTAACAATCAATTGGCAATTATACATTTTTATACACTATATGATGGCAACATAATACTTTAAAATTAAGCACTTAGTTTAATAAGAAATGTACAACGATTTAAAAAATAAGTTTTGACAATGGCACTGGCAGTTAGATGCAAAGAATATGCTTTAAGAAAAAAATGGCAGGTATAACATTAAAATACTCTAATTCGCCTTTCAATAAATATTTTTACTACATCATTAACATACTGAAGTAAACTTGGTTTAAATCAAAGCTTACACATTTCAAACTAAAAAAAAAAAAAAAAACTGTAAGATATATGTAAACCAGAAAGCCTCAAAGTTTCTTAGATAAATGCTATGATCTTCACAAAAGGGTGTTAAGTTGTTGCAGTATTTAAGACAATGGTCTTTACAGCTTTGTGAAGTATTCACATCTGTTGCTTAAATTGCTGGGAAAGGCCTCCTGGTCTACCAAGACACATACATTCCCTCCTTAACACATTCTCTAGTTTGACTTTGTGCTAAAGCATATTTAACTGAACATCTAGTATGAGCCCTTTACATAATGCCTCCAAAAGTAGCAAAAGAAAAAATATATATACTAAACTTTACTATATACAAAGGAATCCAAGTTAAAAGAAGTCATGCTGGCTATGAGGACAGGAAAAGCTTTGAAGGTGGAAAAAGGGAGGTGATCCACCTTTTCCATCAATTCAGGTAATCTGTTTTCTTTCTCTGAATTTGAAAAGTAAAATAATAACTGATTTAGTAATATATTGCACAAAAAACTTCAAAAATATATATTCAAGAAACACTGATTCTGTTTGGGATGTGAAGATGAACAATCGTGCTGAATCAAAGCTTTTTACTAGGGATCTATTATAAACTGGAATCAGCTGCAACAAAACATATTCTTTTGACGTAAGGCAAAATATATGTTAGCTTATATCACAGTTTTAGGATATGTTGGAAAACATGTAATCACCTTGGAGTTTCTAAATTGACTTTATTACAGGAAAACTTGTGTATTATCGGGAATACAATTTCCAGGCCATAGGACTTGGAATGATTCTACTTAATTATATGGTTATTAGTCATGTTTCTCAAAACACCTGAGGAATGAGAGCATGATCTCAATGGAAGTAGTAACTGGAGGACCACAATTTAAAAGGTGCTTCCCCTGGAAAATAACTGGCTTGGTATGTTAGCAAGTGGAAGGTGATGCACTAAATTAAGTTTAAGAAACTGTAAAATATTGTGTAATCTCTCCCTGTTAGCTTTCAGTGCAGAAGTGTTTATCGTCCTTGCTAGTGATGAATATAACTTAAACATGTAAATTCGTGGGAAGAGTGAATAAAAAGGAAGAGAAAAATCAAAAGATGTAAAGAATTACTGTTACATACATCAAGACAAAATAACTTTGAAGATCCCTATTAGAGCTGGAACTAACTCTGCTTCTCTTAGATCACTTTCCTTTTCTTATAAAGAAAGAGTAATTATCTTATGGACAGAAACCAGGTAGCACATTTGTGATACAGAATTTCAGCAGAACAAAATAAATTGGTGCCAGATTACTGAAACACTGTTCCTAAGGTCTATCCAGAAGGCTATGGTAAAAACTTAAAAACAGTTATTAAAATGATGAGTGTAATTTCTTTATTATTTACACTGTGGTTAAAGCATTTTTGGGTTTTTGGTGTTTTATTCACTGTCTATAATAAAAGTTAACTTGGTTTAGCCATTTTCTGTAGATGTGACCGATATAAAGAAAAAACCCAAATACCTCATCCTGCATGCTTAAGGGTTATTTTTCATTATTAACAAATTTAAAAATTACTATATTTTGATAGCACCAATTCATTAATGTGGCTATCCAGGTTAAATTAAACATGGAAACGGAACAGAGAACATTAATACTGTTATCCCTGACTTAAAGTCTTGTCAATTGAAAAAAAAAGTGTTTAAAATCCTTTTTCTCATTTGACAGTTTTGCCAAAATAAAAATTGAAAGTTAAAATATCTGTCTCTTAAAAAATGCTTTATAATCATAGAAACAGCTGAAAACAGCAAATCAACATCATGACCTTGACTGTGCATGTGTGTATGTATGTGTACATATGTATACAATCTATCAGAATGATGAAAACAAGGTCATTGTCTATGACTTAGGATGTAGCATAAGACTGAACTTCTGGAAAGTTGCTTCCATCATCGTAAAAAAAAAAAAAAAAAAGGTAGAATGAATAAGTGTAGTTTAGCATCCTGTTGTTTCTGAATAATCTAATCAAATTATACAAATGATACTATGAAAAGCTGTCTCATATAAGCAGACTGTTCAAATAAGATACTCAGTCAAAGCACTTTTGGAGTAGTACCAGAAAATCTTTTTCTCATGGATCAATGGCACTATAGGTTATTACACTGCCTCCTCAAAAGGGTGTATTGCATAAGATCTAATTTTATATGAATTTTGAAATTCATGAAGGTAATTTTGTTTGCAAAATTGCATTAAATCTATTAAGATTTAATTTGTTATACTTATAAATTTAATCCATACAAAGCTTGGACAGAAGTTTTTTCCTAAATGACCTACTTTATGATACATATGCAATTAGTACTCAGAATGTTTCATTACACTCCATTCCTATTACAAGATTCTCAGAATGCAGTACATGTGGCAGGCAAATGAAAGATTCTCTTATTACAAGTGTGTCAAAATGGGTGTACTCCATAACACACTTAATTGGCTATATCCTCTCATTGGATAACTTATACTCAACAAAGGCAGCTAGTGGCTAAAACTTAATGTTTGCAAAGCACTTTGGGCAAGAATAAAAGGCCCCAATAAATGCTATGCAGTATCTGTGAAGTAAAAACACTTCAAAGCTACCATTGTAATAGGAATTGGGAGTGTTCTTGGATGAAATAACACCACAAAATTGTCTTTTTTAAACCTTAGAACTCTTTGTTGCATTCTCTACCTATGTAACCAAAAGAAACTTTTTCTAAACATCAGGATGTTTTTCAATTTATGTTTGTCTTTGCCCACACCACAACAACAAAAAAAATTAAAAACAAATTAAAATAAAGTAAAAAAATTTCAATCTTATGTTACCGGATTGTGTGTCAGGAGAGAAGTATATGAAAAGTACAATAGCAAAATTTTTAGCTGGTTCAGTAACTATAGTTACAGATTGGAAAAGAAAATGAAAAAAATTTATAGAGTTGCCAAATCTTACATTCTGACATATTAACAGAAGAAAGGATTTTTGTCCCACAAGTTTAAGACAGAGGCTGGGGATTTTCTTATACAAAAATTTCCAAATCTTGGAGACACCACAAAAATTATGCTTTCAGGACTTCACATCATATATTTCTGATCAGGCATGATCCTAACAGCAATTGTTTAATAAAAATTTTAAAAACCAAAAACCAAAAATGTTTTGAAAGAAATAAGTAATTCGTATCCCTTCCCTACCCTAAAACTAATGAAGTCCATTATGGCTTTGATATCCCTTGTAAAGAATTAAGTGAAAGAGTATTGCCACACTTTAAGTATTTCTATTTTTTCCGTTGCTTTTGATTTTGCGTCTTTGCAGTACTTATTAGGGAACCTAAACATGTACGAATTCCAGCAAGGTGGAGCAGAGATCCAGCTGCTTCTTTGAGCTCCTCATCAATTTCTTGACATGTCTGTTTTCGCATCTTTTTGCCTGACTGCCCTTTTTCAGAGATTTTTGCACAAGGCTGTGATGCATAGCCACTGTCTCCAAGAGGATCATCTTCATAATCAACATCTGTATCTTCTTCACTGTGAAATCCTTCACTGCCATCACTTCCCACATGGCTATTCTTTGGGATAAATTCATATACCTCATCTACAGAAGACAGGGAAGACACGCTAGACCTGGATGCACAACGCTGTGCTGCCATGCTACTTGCACTGTAATTGTGATCTTCTTTTGGATCAATGCTGGTGGCTAAAGAATCACTCTCTTGTAATCGTACAGCACTGGGATGATGAAATGCATTGCCATAACTCCTCTTTTTTTGCAATGCTGTTTTAAGAGGAAGAGGTTTCTCACCTGTGGAAAATAAAAGTTCCATCAATAGGTCAAATGTGTTTGGTTGCAAAAACAGACCAATTTTAAACTACTACATTACTCTTGAGCAGTAAATGTTTTAGATTAATGATGCTTTGTAGATTTTTTATTTTTTTACCCAGATCACATCATTCTGCAAGCATTAATCTGAAACATTAAAAAAAAAAATTTAACAATGTCTTGACTTTTCCATAGAACATATATTTTGAATTGCTTACAAAGAATGCCTCAATATGAATGTACCACTGTTTAATCACTTCTGTGTTAATATTTAGCCTGTTTCCAATTTTTCATTAGTATAAATCATGCTGCAATACAAATCCTTCTGGATGCCTTTTCTTGAATATATGCAAGTAATTTTTAAAAAGAGATATGAAAAAATTGCTAAGGGATATACACATTTAAAATTATAATTGGTATTCTCAAATTGCCATCCAAAATGGTTTTACTCCCAACCGTGTATGATAGAGCTTATTCCCTACTTAACACCATTCTCAATTACTTAAATTGTTTATAATTTTATGGACAAAAAAGTTATCTCAGTATTATTTCATTTTGTGTTTCCCCAATTTCTAGAGAAGTTGCACATCTTTTCACATGTGTATTGCCCACATATATTTCCTCTTCTAAGATCCACCTAGTCATACATTTTGCTGACTTTTCGGTTGAACTGTTTTCTTATTTCTTACTTGTAGAATCCTTTTATGTATATACTTGATATTAATCCTTTGTTATATAAGGAAAAAACATGTCTCCAGCATTTTATGTCACTTTTCTTAGACATATTTTGTTGTCAGATGCTTTTTTCTTTTTTTTTTTTTTTTGAGACAGAGTCTCACACTGTCACCCAGGCTGGAGTGCAGTGGCATGTCCATGGCTCACTGCAACCTCCACCTCCCAGGTTCAAGCAATTCTCCTACTTCAGCCTCCTGAGTCACTGGGACTACAGGCATGTACCACCACATCTGGCTAATTTTTGTATTTCTTGTAGAGACAGTTTTGCCACGTTGCCCAGGCTGGTCTGGAACTCCTGGTCTCAAGTGATCCACCTGCCTTGTCCTCCCAAAAGTGTGAGGATTACAGACGTGAGCCACCATGCCTGACCAGATGCTAAAATTTTGATGTTTTATTAAATTTACCCATTTTTTTCTTTATAGATTTTGCATTTTGTATCTTAAAGTTTTTCCTAGTCCAAGTTCATAAATATACTTTACTTACTATATTTTCTTGTTTATAGTTTTCATTTTTACTTTTAGCTCTTCGAGCTCATTTTTCTAAATATATTTTTCTTCATTTCTTGGTCAATGTAAGAAAAATCACAGCATTAACTTCAATCTCTCAATTGCTCACATAAATTAATGAAAGTATAATAAAACAGAAACTGAGTTACTTAGATCAAAATAAAATTTGGTTGGAAAGAAGTAATTTTGTAATAGTTATTTTATAGTCTAGGTTAAATTTGAAAAGGCATTAAAAATTTTTTTTTAAAAAGGCACAATTGCTTACATTCTAAAATTCCTTGTTCTATAGAAGTATTTAAAAGCATCATTGCAGCAGCAGCATCGATATCAGATTCTGAAAAGGGAAAAAGTAATAATATTAATGTTCTTTATAAAAGAGAGGCTATTGTAAGTATTTGCATGCACCCAAAGATAACCAGTGTTACAATTTTGGTGTATATTCTAAGAAAGCATAAACATACATTAAAAACGGGATATTATATATTATTCTGAAGTCTGATTTTGTTCACTTAAAATCATGAAACAGTTCTGCGAACAGCACTGTATAAAAGAAATGGAAAGGTACCAGAAATAATACAAGTTCTCTTCTTTAATTATTCACAATGAAAACGAAAACTTAAACTGTTATTTCAGTAAGGTTTCCCCTTAAACAGACTAAATTAGCTAAGAATGTACATCATTACTTCTTTTATTTATTTATTTTTTGCATTTTTACCTTGAATACTATCATTACCTATGCATATCTGCAGTTATGAAGTACTATGTTAATTACATGTCAGTTGCAGGAGATAAAAATATGTAATTCGTCAGTCTAGATCATGTAAACCTATAAATGCTAAGTGAATATGCAGAAACAAAAACAATTAGTATTGTTTTAGTCATAATTATACACAAGCCTGCAAGTACCACAAATAAATATAATATTCATGAAGTCAAATGGATACTCCATTAAAAATGGGCTTTAAAAGACTGGTAAAATCAGCAGGTTCTACAACAGATAAAGTTATGCTCTCACATCTACTTATATTTACTGCTGTAAGTTCTTCATCTTGGTGATATATTCATCTGAGTAACTAAAGAAAAGTAAAATGGTTTAATCTAAATTACACCATTAATAATTAGAAAAGTTAGAAAATATTTATACATTTTAGCTTACAAAAAGACATTTAAAATAAGACTCAGATATGAAATTTGTAATCTATATCTCAAAGGTGGAAATTTTTATTAGCATAAAGATTTCCTATTTACTTTCAATGTCTAATTTAAAAGGTATTGTAGATAATAAAGCCATGAAGATATTGACTTGTTTTCTCTCCAACTAGACCATAAACTCTCTTAAGCAGGAAATGCTATTGTTATCCAGGCTTAAGTAAATCAGATGTTGGCCGCTATGAGACAGCACATAATACTATACCTCTTTTTCCCCAAGTAAAATGAGACCTCACGATCCACAGCTAACATCTTACTGAATGGGGAGAAGCTGAAAGCGTTTCCTCTAAGAACTGGAACAAGAAAAGGATGCTCACTCTCACCACTCTTAGTCAACATAGTACTGGAAGCCCTAGCCAGAGCAATTAGGTAAGAGAAAGAAATAAAAGGCATCCATGTTGGAAGACAGGAAGTCAAATGTCCCTGTTTGCAGACAACAGGATCTTACATATAGAAAAAACTAAAGATTCTACCAAAAAACTCTTAGAACTGATAAATTCAGTAAAGTTGCAAGGTACAAAATCAATACACAAAAATCAGTAATATCTCTATACACAAAACAACAAACTACCTGAAAAAGAAATCAAGATGGTAATCTCATTCACAATAGCTACAAAAAATAAAATTAAAATACTTACAAAAAAGTTGAAGACAATACAAATAGACATCCCATACTCATGGATAGGAAGAATTAGTATTGTTAAAATGACAATACTACTCCCAAAGCAATCTATAAATTCTATCAAAATACCAATCCTTCACAGAAATATAAAATAATCCTAAAAGTTGTATGGAACTACAAAAGACCCCAAATAGGCAAAACAGTCTTGAGCAAAAAGAACAAAACTGGAGGCAAAATACTAACAGACCTCAAAATATACTACAAAGTTGTAGTAACCAAAAACGCATGGTACTGGCATAAAAATAAGACACATAGATCAATGGAACAGAATAGAGAACCTGGACATTAATTCACGTATTTACAGCCAACTAATTTTTTTTTAATATGTATTTTTTTGGAGACAGAGTCTTACTCTGTCACCCAGGCTGGAGGGCAGAGGAGTGTTCTTGGGTCACTGCAACCTCCATCTCCCAGATTCAAGTGATTCTTGTGCTCAGCCTCCTGAATAGCTAGGATTACAGAGGTGTGCCACCATACTTGGCTAATTTTTGTGTTTTTAGTAGAGATGGAATTTCACCATGTTGGCCAGGCTGGTCTCAAACTCCTGGCCTCAAGTGATCTGCCTGCCTTGGCCTCCCAAAGTCCTGAGATTACAGGCATGAGCCACCGTGCCCACCCCAGCGGAGTGATTTTTGACAAAGGTGCCAAGAACGCTTCCTGGGGGAAAGACAGTTTCTTCAATAAATGATACAAAGGAAATTGAATATACATCTATATGCAGAAGAATGAAACGAGACTCCCACCTCTCACCCTATACAAAAATCAGCTCAAAATGGATCAAAGACCTAAATGTAAAAACTGAAACAATAAAACTACCAGGAGAAAACAAAGATGAAACATTTCACGACATTGGTCTGCGAAAAGATTTTATGAATGAGACCTCAAAAACTCAGGTAACAAAAGTAAAAATAAACGGAATTATATCAAACTAAAAAGCTTCTGCACAGCAAAGGAAACAATCAACAGTGAAATGACAATCTACAGAATGTGATAAAATACATGCAAACTACTACTCTGACAGGGGATTAACATCTATAATACAAAAGGAACTCAAGCATCTCAACAGGAAAACAAACAAACCAAAACCCTCTAATTTCAAAATGGGCAAATTATCAGAACAGACATTGCTCAAAAGAAGACATACAAATGGCCAAGAAATTTTAAAAAATTAAGAGGAACGGGAAATAGAGTGTTAGGGAAAGTGGTTACAATTTTAAATACAGAGGTCAGAGAAATCCTGAAGGAGAAGGTAGGCTACAGTTGGGCAAAGACCTCAGGGAGGGAAAGAATGATATCTGAGGGAAAAGAGTATTAGGCAGAAAGAAGAGCAAGTACAAAGGATTTGAATCAATGATGCCCACATGCCACATTCAAGAGATTAGCAAAAAAAAAAAAATGACCTCTCCAATTCCTGTTTTTTAGGATGAAGGCTGAGACAATTTGTTCTGAGTTCAGTATTCTATCACATCTGAAGAAGAAAAGATGCAGCCACTAGCCCATAATGTGTCCCTGTGTGAGTTGGAAAAAAGGCAAATCTTCCTCTAGGTGAATGGTTCCCTATTCAAGGCACACAGCTAGAAGAATGGAATGTGGGCTGAATTTCAGGCCCCACTCACTGTCTTAAGCCAGGCAAACTTGCAGAGGGTACAACATGCATGGCATTATGCAAAAGCCCCAACAGAGAGATTACTTCTCCATAAACTAATTTTTCTTTTTTTTTTTTTCTTTTATTTTCTCAAGACATAAGGTCTCCTCTGTCACCCAGGCTGGAGTGTAGTGGCACAATCATGGCTCACTGTAGCCTCAACCTCCAGGGCTCAAACGATACTTCCACCTTAGCTTCCCAAGTAGCTGGGACCACAGGCATGTACCACCACACCCGGCTAATTTTTATTTTTATTTTTTGTAGAGATACGGTTTTACTATGTTCCCTGAGCTCAACTGAGCCTCCCGCCTCAGGTTCCCAAAGTGCTGGGATTACAGGTGTGAGCCACCGTGTCCAGCCTAATTCTTCTTTTTAATAAAAAAGGATCTACCTTGTTTCCAATTTTATAAAAGAGGAAGGTGATGGTAAAATAATCTAACAAGGAAATGCATTATAATGAGAAACCAATTACAGAAACTTTGTCTTATAAATGAAGCACCTATAAAATCTACTTACTAAAAAATTAGTGTATCTCTAACTTGACTTCTTTTTTTTGAGATGGAGTTTCACTCTTGTCGTCCAGGCTGGAGTGCAACGGCGCCATTTCGGCTGTCTGCAACCTCCGCCTCTTGGGTTCAAGTGATTCTCCTGCCTCAGCCTCCTGAGTAGCTGGGATTACAGGCACTTGCCACCATGCCAGCTAATTTCTGTATTTTTAGTAGAGATGGGGTTTCATCATGTTGGTCAGGTTGGTCTCGAACTCCTGACCTCAGATGATCCACCCACCTTGGCCTTGCTGGGATTACAGGCATGAGCCCCCTGCCCGGCCTAACTTGACTTCTTTTAACAAGCATCCATTATGATTCAAGGAACATATTTTTGAAACACAACACCTAAAACTGATTAAGAGGCTTATCCTGATAACGTAAGAAAGCTACATGAACACCATTTCTGAATATTTTAAAGCGATAAAATTAAGTACTGTTTCTATAACAGTAGAATGGTACGAAAAATACTCCTTAAATGTATTTATTTATTGTAAATAACTTATACAGCCAAATTAATTTGAATTCTCCAACATGAAATTAACTTTGTGAAACCAAACACTTCTTTACAAAAGAATTTTGCGGGACAGAACGAGGGGACGTAACGGAGGCAGGTCGGAGCCGCTGCCGTCGCCATGACCCGCGGTAACCAGCGTGAGCTCGCCCGCCAGAAGAATATGAAAAAGCAGAGCGACTCGGTTAAGGGAAAGCGCCGAGATGACGGGCTTTCTGCTGCCGCCCGCAAGCCGAGGGACTCGGAGATCATGCAGCAGAAGCAGAAAAAGGCAAATGAGAAGGAGGAACCCAAGTAGCTTTGTGGCTTCGTGTCCAACCCTCTTGCCCTTCGCCTGTGTGCCTGGAGCCAGTCCCACCACGCTCGCCTTTCCTCCTGTAGTGCTCACAGGTCCCAGCACCGATAGCATTCCCTTTGCCCTGAGTCTGCAGCGGGTCCCTTTTGTGCTTCCTTCCCCTCAGGTAGCCTCTCTCCCGCTGGGCCACTCCCAGGGGTGAGGGGGTTACCCCTTCCCAGTGTCTTTTATTCCTGTGGGGCTCACCCCAAAGTATTAAAAGTAGCTTTGTAAAAAAAAAAAAGAAAAAAAAAAATTTGCCTGTATCTTATTTAAAACATTTATAAATATGCTTCCTACAATGCCTTGCCAATTAACTGTGAAAAAAAGTTTAACTTCAACATTAAAAATAAGCAATAGAGAAATAACCCAAAACACCATCATAATTGAGAACACCTGATTATC